CCGTCGTAGGAAAAGGACCTGCAATATCCACGGCAATTCTCTCCCAAGGGGAACCGGACAAGTACTGCGTCATTTCTCCACGGGATCGCGTCTTAGGTCCTTTTTTAAAAGCACAGAGTTCGCATCTCTTGCACCACTCTTCAACATCCCTACGACAGTTGATCCAATAGTAGCTATCTCTTACTCGAGCCAAGAACCTATTGACTCCAAAGTGTCCGCCACTCCTACTACTGTGCAGTTCTTAAAGCACTCTGTCCACCATGGTCCGTGGTACAACGGTCTGATATACTAGGTTTTTTCCATCTGGACTGTCCCATTTACGAGTGATCAAGTCATCTCGCAGGCACAGCAAGTCCCATTGCAGCTAGTATCCCTTCACCGCTTGACTCAAACTGGAAATTTCTTGCCATCCAGGTCGTTGTCCGGCTTGTAGCCAGCCACGCAGCATTTTCAATTCCTTACCCATATTTTGTTGTTCTTTGAAGTCTTCTTTCGTAATGTCCTCATGAGTATTAGCGTCGTTGTCGGAATTCTTTAGCCTTATTTGTTGAACGACTCCAGCATTTTTGGTTGCCTCCTTTTCCTCTTGCCTTTGGCAGAATTTGCAAAAGCTGTCAATATATGGTCTTCGTGATAGGCTGTCGGCGTTGGCATGACTCCTTCCTTTGCGATGTTTGATTTGGAAGTCATAACTTTGTAATTTCTCTAACCAACGCGCTATTTGACCCTCCGAATTTTTTAAATTGAGCAGCCATTGCAATGCAGAATGGTCGGTTCTAACTAGGAACTTCCGGCCATAGAGAAAGCTGTGGTAATGTTCAATAGATCTTACTACTGCCAGAAGCTCCTTTCGGGTGACACAATAATTCTTCTCTGCCTTTCCAATGGACTTACTGAAGTATCCAATTACTATTTCTTCGCCGTTTTGAATTTGGGAAAGAACAGCCCCTATTCCACTTTGCGAAGCGTCGGTGTCTAAAATAATTAGACCTTCATCCCTGGGATACGCCAGAACTGGAGCACTAGTCAATTTATTTTTCAGCTCCACGAAAGACCGTTGACATTCAGATATCCAATCAAAACGAGCGTTCTTTTCAGTTAGTTCATGTGAAGGCTTCGCAATCTTTCCAAAATCCTTGATGAACCGGCAGTAGTTACTGCAGAGTCCCAGGAAGCTTCTAACTTCATGTTTATTCTTTGGTCATGGGCCAATCTCGCACAGCTTGGACTTTATCTGGATCTTTCTCTATTCCTTTTGATGAGACGACATGGCCGAGGAAGTTTACTTTTTCCTGGAATAGGACACACTTCTTGGGATTTAGTTGCAGATTGGCACTTCGAATCCTGGCAAAAACTTCCTTCAAATTCGACAGGTGTTCGTCGAAATCTTTGCCAATCACCATGACATCATCCAGATATAATATGCACGTTTCCCAAGACAGTCCTCGCGAAACTAACTCCATCAGTCTTTCAAAAGTGGCAGGTGCATTGCATAATCCAAACGGCATGACGTTAAATTGATATAGGCTGTTTCCTGCAGTAAATGCGGTCGCGGTCTTCTTTTTATCCTCCTTATTGAGTTCCACCTGCCAATATCCACTTTTCAAGTCCAGGGTTGAAAACCACCTGAATCCTAATAGGGTGTTAAGGGTATCGTCAATTCGGGGTAATGGATAGCTGTCTCTCTTCGTAACGTCATTCAACCTTCTATTATCCACACAAAACCTGGTAGAATCATCCTTTTTCCTAACTAGTACGATCGGCGATGACCATGGACTATTAGATTCTTCTATGATGTTGCCCTTCAGCATTTCCTTAAGCATGGTGTTAACTTGCTGTTCCTTTGCGAAGGGGAGTCTTCGTGGTGGTTGGCGAATGGGTGTAGCACTTCCTGTGTTGATGCGATGATCTACCAAATTAGTTCGTCCAGTAATTTTATCTTGCACAAAAACACCAGCCTCTTTCTGCACAAAGTCAATAGCTTTCTTCTTTTCTTACTGGCCTAAGTGATTCCAACTCTTTCCAAAGTTCTCCAGAAGCTCTATTGATAAATGTGCTTCATTTGACACAGGCTCCTTCTTTGCGCATCTGACTACTCGTATAGCTTCCTGTTCTTGCATAATTTTCTGGAGCCGGTCTTGCTCCTGCTATCGCTTGTCCTCTTCTTCCTGTTTTTCTTTAACCCTCGGGCAGGCGCGCTATCGGCCCTCTATGCCGCCTTTTTACTAAAGGATTCCGCAAATATAGTTGATCTTATCATATTGTCCGTCTAGCTATGCTCAAATGACTATATTAGGAAACCTATTACGCACAATGTACGACCTTAGAGCGCTTTTTCAGATGTCAGTGAGTTCTTGAACCCACAGGTGTTGAGTTTTCGGCATTCCGTTTTGATGTTTTGAATTTTTTCGTACATTTTTCAGTTGGACGTGGTCATTTAGTTCCTGACTTTACAGTTCACTGCACTTGTCGTATCAGTCAATCAGAACTGATCCTTACGCGGTGCGCACCAGGGCTTTTATAGTTATGTGCGTCCTTCTCTAACACGCTCGAATTTTCGTGATTTAGTTCTTCTTGAAAATAGTCGAATTTTCTGGCTTCTTTAACTGTAGTTACAGGCAGCAATCAAAAAGTACGTGGCGGGTTTATAACAATAGGTTGAGGATGTAGTCAGAAACAGGAAAATACCAGTGGCGTACACTTGATCGACCTACGAATAGAGAACCATACGAAAATATACAAAACTGTATGATTATTCAAAAACTGTACATAGGAAACTGTATGATTATTTAAAAACTGTACATAGGATTGAATTCATACTAACATGGAAAGGTTTAGGGGGTAGTCAGAGACAGAAAAATACCCGCGGCGTACACTCGATCGACCTACGAATGGAGAACCATACGAAAATATACAAAACTGTATGATTATTCAAACACTGTACATAGGAAACTGTATGGTTATTCAAAAACTGTACATAGGATTGAATTCATACTAACATGGAAAGGTTTAGGGGGTAGTCAGAGACAGGAAAATACCCGCGGCGTACACTCGATCGACCTACGAATGGAGAACCATACGAAAATATACAAAACTGTATGATTATTCAAAAACTGTACATAGGAAACTGTACGGTTATTCAAAAACTGTATATAGGATTGAAATTATACTAGCATGAAAAGGTTGAGGGGGTAGTCAGAAACAGGAAAATACCAGTGGCGTCACTTGATCGACCACTGAGTTTTCTAGAGAATTTTCTCCTAGGAATTTCGGATAAATATCAATTCTCGATCGTTCCGTAATCTACTAGATTATTCCATTAACTTTAAATTCTATGGTTATACGGGGGTGAATCAATGAATACGAAATTAAGGTTTAAGGGCTGTCTCTGTTAACACCTATAGTGACCGCCCTACTCAGACCAATCTAGAAGATATCGGGATGGAGTTTGAATGTGTAAACGCAGTCGTACGAGACGTTAGGTCTCACACACTGCCGCTAATCATCTGGTCTCTCTAAGTTTAAATTGGAAGAAGTAGAATTCATACAATGAGATACAAAAAGCCTTCAAGGCTGCAGTGGGTATGGGCTCGAATGGGTGGAGAAACGAACGAACGAAAGAACTATGGGGATGTCAGCTGTGCAAAAGGGCTGTTCAATGAAATGCTTCATATTTGAGGAGTCGCTATGCAATGATGCCAGATTGTGTACAATTACCCTGACTTGTATATAAGATTGTCTCTTTGCTTAGACCTGTTTGCTTCAAAATGCCTCTTCTGGGTACTTCAAAGTCGGTGTATTTTCACCTCCGTATAGAACTAGCTTTTCTACGGGAACAACCTTAGGTTTGGCTGATTACGGAAGTTGAGTCCTGTATCCTATGTTGTTCATCTCTTCCCACGGTCATTCTAAATTCGGGTTTGTTCCCTTTTGCCACTGTAGCTGATACCAGGCTTTTGCCGTCATTGAAGCCGTCAGTCGAGTATCGTCCTCGTTCTGTCATTGTTCAGACCTCTAATCCTGGCGAAATCGTGAACAAGTCTGACTCTTGCCTGAATATCAGTTCTATGGACTGGAAGTAGAGCTTCATCTTCTTCAGCTGGTGGTCTGCCAAACATTAGATCTACGGATATATTTATGCCTCTTTCACTCAATAGCAGTGACCATGTATAGCCGCTGGATTCATGCTGAGTCTGAAGGAAAAGTGGCACTAGTATATACGTTTCATACTTCAGACTTAAACTTTGTCCCCTGATCGGTTTGAATTGAAGTTCCATCGGTAGGTATCCCGTATCAGGTTGTGATGTTGTCCAGTGATGCGTCAGCAGCTATAACCACTCCTTGCTCTAATGCAATATCTACCGCGATTTTCTCCCAAGGGGGGTATGTCGAGTACGGCTATGTCTCTCCTCGACCTACTGTCATGGGAACTGTCTCATTTACGAATGATTGAGTCATCTCTCAGACACAACGGATCCCATTGAATCCAGTATCACTCCTGCGTTTGAACAAAACTGGGAATTTCCTGCCATCCAGGTCATTGGCCGTTTTCTAGCCCGCTACGCACCGTTTCCAATTTCTTGTCAGCGCTGTTTTCTCTCTCAAAGTCTTCTTTGGTAATGTACCCTTCAGTATCAGTTTCAATTTTGGTATTTTTGTATCAATAGTTTTCAAAATAATTGATGATTTAAGGCGTTTTTTAGAAACCACCCTGTATTTCATAAACTAAGAGGAATTTGGCAACATTGTAAACAAGTCTTGAATGAGCATCAAAAAATGCAACTTTTTTCTAATTCAACCGACCTTGTAGCTCTGACCGTTTCGCATATAGCAATAGTGGTATCATTTAAAATATACATCCTGTATATTGATAAAAAATTAAAGTCATGACTAATGAAAACTGTAAAACTGAGATTATCCTATATTTTAATGTTTATCAAAATATAGAACACATCTTTCAGGCAGTTTCTGAATCGCCTTACTCAGCTTTATTTTTCTTAGAAGGATTAATTTATCAATGATTTATCAATTAGAGTGTGCAGTCATAACAAAGATAAACTTACCGACTCGTCCCAGCTATTTAGTTACTTATGTTTCTGTTTGCTATTGTTTAAAGTTAGATATCGCACATTTCAATTAGTTCAGCAGTTTTTATATTTTTGGTGATGGCAATTGCATTTGGGCTGCCTCTTTGCCTTATTGTGTCAAATCATTTTGGTCGGTATACATGTATGGTGCGTGAAGTATTTTGGCTCGATCATAAAGACTTCTTTAGTGATAATACTGATTAATACATCGTTCGGTTTAAAAGCAAAGTGCAAAATGTCCGACGCAACGTTTAACACAGTGAGTGCAAAATCTAAACTAAAAATTCTGGATAATGAGGAACAAATACATGGTGACCTAAATGATGACGGTTTACTGGAAAATACTCTCTTTGCCCCTCTCCTTGCAATGCCGTGTTCACCCAGGAATATTTCAAGGGAGATTCAAAAACCTGCACTCGATGATATTGAGAATGCTGAGACCAATTGTGAGCTCACAGATTTGCTTGATAAAACTTGTGTACTGGATACTGAACTGGACATTCTGGATAATAAGAAACAAATACTTAATGACCCAAATGACGACGGTTTACTGGAAAATACTCTCTTTGCTCCTCTCCTTGCAATGCCGAGTTCACTCAAGAATATTGCAACGGAGATTCAAAGACCTGCACTCGATGATATCGAGAATGGTGAGACCAATTGTGAGTTTACAGATTTGCTTGATAAAACTTGGGTACTGGATACTGGGATTTATGAGAGCACTCTAGAACCATTACCGGAGCCTACAAAATCTATCGATACCGAGGAGCAGAACGCACGAAACAACATAAAATCCAGGCGCAAATCAAAATGTTGTGTTGAAGTCTTGTATTGCTGGAATCATTTATCCACAATCCTTCTGAGCTTGGGGTTATTGGCTACAATATATGCGGTAATATATGTTTTCTGTATTATGAAGAAGAAGTAGATAGTTTCAACTCAAGCCTTCCATGATAGATAAAGAGGAAATTGGAATTATTAAAACCCTTTAGGAAGAGTTTTTCGTGAGCCCGTATCGTGGATGCTAAACTTTATAATTTTAAAACCTTGCGGTATTGTAGGAATGGATTTTGGTTTACTAGTGTTAGTTTTTTTTCTACATTTTAATCAAAAAGTAATTCCTTTTTCCAACTTTATAACATTTATTAGAAGGTTGAACTGACTTCTTTTGCCTTGTTCAATTTCATTTTATTTCATCCATTCACTCAAGCAAATGACTCGAACATTGTTGAGGGCTAAAGGTTGATAGTTTGGATTATTTGATTAGGTACCTTTTTTTGCCTTAAAATACAGTGTGTCCCTGAACAAGTTCTATAAAGTAAGAAAACAGATTATTTTCTTCAAAGTAACGGCAACAGCAAAATAATACAATTTGATGAAAATTAAGTTAGTTTAACTTGAAGTTCTATAAGTATTAATCTGTTAAACATTTACTTGAAATTTTTGGTAGTTAGGTAAGTCATTTATATAAATTAAGAAAAATGAAATTGTTCCATAAATAATTTTATTAACTTGGTATTGTAGTAATAGATTTTGATTTACTAGGGTTAATTTTTTGTTTTATATTTTAATCAAAATATTTTTTTTTTTCAAGTTTATCATATTTATTAGTTGAATTAATATTTCTTGCTTTGTTAAATTTTATTAAATTCCAAAAATTTGCTAGAAAAATAAACCAATAATTATTGTAAAACGCTAAAGTTTGATATTTTTGATTCATTGGAGTAGGTCCGGACTTTTTTGTATTGCATCAAAATAAATAAAATAATTATGGTGCAACACCCAAATTGAACTCCGTATTTTAGCGGATCATCTTATAGGATAGAAATGTCACAATCTTTATTTTTCCAGAATTCGATTGATTTGAGAAGAAAAATATTCAGTTAAGGTATTAGTTCAACTTGAAGTTTTATATACCTATATTATTTTTTTAAACATTCAAGTACCACTTGAAATTTTTGGTAGGTAGGTAAATCACCACCACATAAAGGTCGCTACATCGTACAAAGTTTTTATTTGTAGGATAAGGGAATTTTTGTTATGTGCGTTCGAATATCGATCTTGGCATGTCTGATAACCTAGAAGTGCATTTTGACATAATTGAAACCCTGAGATGCTATCAAGTTACAGGTTACTGTTACAGTTTCAAGTGGAAATCGAATATTTTCATTTTTTCTAGGAATTATTTTATTGTATAATTTAAGTTTCTTTTACTATAAATTAAATATTGCAAAATTGTACTCTTTCAATAACAGAAAATGTATAAGTAATATCATTTTATCAGAGATCCATATTATCAAAATTTTCGAATGACATTGACCACGTGACCGATGTCAAAATGTTCTTTATAGGTTATCGGACAACATGCAGGATTGATCGCACATAAAAAAATCCCATATCCTACGAATGAAAAGTTTTCCCATAGGTAGCGAACATTATGGTGGACAATATATACATTAAAAATAATAGAATTATTCTATTTATAATTTTATTAATTTGGTATTGTACTTAGTACCTAATAGATTTTGGTTTAGTTTCTACTGTTAGTTTTTTGTTCTATATTTTAATCCAAAACCAAATGTTTTCTTTTTCAACTTTATAACATTTATTAAAATGTTGAACCAAAATTTTTTGCCTCATTTTTATTATATTTCAGCAATTTACTCAAGATAAACCGAAAATTCTTAAAGGCTAAAGGTTGGACAAAGTTTAGTTCTATAGCAAGATCACACATTGGGTGGTATGAATAAAAACGAAGTATCTGCTACTACTACAATTATTAGTAGATTCTTCGTAGTATCTACTTTAAAACGAAGTAGATACTAAATTTCGAAACTACCGGAAATTAGTAAATCCTTCTTTTTGAAGTAAATACTACGTAGAATATACTAATAGGTAGGTACTTGTAGTAGTAGTAGGTTCGTTTTTATTCATACCACCTATTGTTTCCTTAAAAGTAAAGGTGATTTTGTTTAAACATACTTTGTTGATGAAAATTGAGTTAAATGGCATTTTTTGGATCCAGGAACTTGTGAGTGATCTTAAGGTAAGTAGAAGATGTTTCGAGTAAGAGGAGAAATCCCTTTAGTACTCTGTTATGTGTTTGAGCGTATTTTCTTAATGATTCCAAATGTGTTTTCATCTTGTTTGAAAATTTTGAATACACAATAAATAAAATATAATTTTTCTAATATTCAACCATTGTGGCTTTTCAATCTTTAATAACTTTACCTACTAAATTGTTATGCAATATGAAAAATCTGGCAAAATATTAGTGGGTACTATTACTATACACTTTTGTTCAATATCCACTTGAACTTGTTCTAATTCTTTTCAAGTAGACTATTTCACTTAGGTACAGACTAGGCCATTGGAATTGGCACAAATTTTTGGAACGCACCTCCTATTGCATCAAAATCTGACTTTTACACGTTAACTGCCACCTGTACAGCCGGCTGCCAACTGGCATGTACCTGTAGCGCCGCATGAGATATACGGCGTATTACGAAAATGTCTATCCATTTTTTTTACATTGGCATGCTCCGATTACCAAACCAATGGTGCACATGTTTACTTGCACGCCGAACAACACTGGTATACGAGGAATTGCACGTAACCTGAACCGCCGGCGTACAATTAATCTAAAGACACAACTCTTCTGTTGTACGCCGGCGGTTTAGGTGGCCCAATCATGATATAGTCAATTGGCCGCCGGCTGTACAGGGTGTCAACTTCACAATTCTTGAAAATGCCAAGTAGCAGTTAACTTGTTAACAAGCCGTTAATGACAAGACAAAATTGTGTCAGTTTTGGCTTAATGCAGAGCACGTTTAAAGAGTTTGTCTCAATTCCAATAGCCACGACTGTACTCACTATAAAATTTTTCTCGACATTATTTCTTCAGTCTATCAAAGATGCGAAAAAGTCAATTTTCAACTGTCAATATTTCCGAAACAGTTGAAGATAGGTATATGACATTGTACATGAAATATGTCTAGAATTTTCCGCAGAAACGAGAAATGTCATAATATACAGGAGGAGTTATTTAAAAAAACATAACTTTGTATCACTACTAGTTATTGGGCCACTTTGTATACTGGAAAATAATTGTATAGGCCTCTTCCAATGGGCGACTTTCACATTTTTCACAAACATATTTAAATTATTCTTTTCGTCATTCTAATACTATCTGTATACTACAGTATACTTCTTTTCTGAAAAAAAAACGCTTATTTTTGAAAAAAAAAATTATTTAAAAATCGAATTTTTGAACTGGCGCGAAAACGCGAACTTGGTTTGTGACGTCACAAACCAGAAAATCAACAAAAATGCGAGGATGCCAAATTTCTCATCAGTAAATCAGTACACATTTCACTAGCTAGAAACTATTTTCGTCCTTTACTACATTATAAAAAAATAAAGGATAGGTCCTTATTCACTCATTTAAATTTCGCATTTCTACATGTGGCAACAAAAACGTCAAAATCGGCTTGAGCCAATCAGAGAGCGTTTTCAATCACGTGATTTTTCGTTTAAATTTTTAGTTTTTATTTATTAATTTATTCAATAATCTGACTAAAATCTTGCAAAATATTGTTCATTCTCGGTTGCGTCAAAAAATATCATAATTTGCCATATTCCTGGCACGTGACAATGGCCCATTCTCGGCAGCGAGCTCTGTTCCGCGCCCTTGTCTCCAAAATCATCAAGAACAGAGGCTCTGGCTCCCTGTTCAAGCCATATTGAGCTATTTGTTGACCTGGTTGGTTGGCCAGCTAGAAACAACAACTCTGAGAGCAAATATCCCTATAACGTCATTCAATAACACCGACTCGTCTAAGCTTTTGTTGGTACTGCATTTGAATAAGACAATTAGATAGGTCTGGTAGAGAAAAAATAAAGATTTGAGAGAGTCTACTAGTTCTTCACAACATCAAAAAAAATCCTGGATACACATTTCGGAAGGGTTTATTTTTATTTATTTATTTATTTATTTAATAAATTAATACAATACTTCACAGGTAAAACTCAATTACGGAGTAGGAACATTCTGACTAATATACAGGGTGTAAAAAAAGTCTGGAATATTGGTGATATCTTAAAAACGGCTAAATATTTTTTTCTTAAAATTGGTATGCCTCTGTAAGGAATAACTCCGGATCATTCAAGTGTGAAATCGCTTATGTAAGAATACAGGGTGAGTCAATAAAAATGCAAACTTTTTTATTTTAAATGACCCACCCTGTAAATTTTTACGGATATCGATAGATCTTTGCAAGACAAATTAACTAATATGGGGTTTAGGGATCTTATCTGTCAAAGTGACGGAACAAGTAAAAAAACTAATTCAAACTGTTTATTGTTATAAACACTAAAAATAATCACAACAAATGTTCGAAATGAGCTCCATTATTAGCTAGGCAATAACCTAACCTGTCCTTAAACTCCTGGATAACATTACCGAAGATTTCACCTGGTATAGATCGACTTTCACCAAGTATTCTATCTCTAAGGTCGTTAAGATCTAATGGTCTACTTTCGTAGACGTTTGTTTTTAAATGCCCCCACAGGAAAAAAATCCAGGGGTGTGAGGACAAATACTTACGATCACTACAAGATAAGGTTATTCCTAGTTCAAATATGCTGACTCCAAACAGGCAGAATACTTAGTTCCAGCAAGATGGTGCACCAACGCATTTTGGTGTACAAGTCCGGAAATTTCTTGTTCTTGATGAAGAGTTTCCAAAGTAGGACGAGGAGGTGAAAATGAATAGACAGCGAGATTATCGGACCTCATCCCCTTCGATTTTTTCCTGTAGGGGCATTTAAAAACAAACGTGCATGAAAGTAGACCATTAGATCTTAATGACCTTAAGAATAGAATACTGGGTGAAATTCAATCTATTCTTGGTGGAATCTTCTGGGTGAAATTCGATCTATTTAGGTGAGATCCTCGGCAATGTTCTCCAGGAGTTAAATGACAGGTTATTGCCTAGCTAGTAATGGAACTGATTTCGAACATTTCTTTTAATTATTTTTAGTGTTTATAACAATAAACAGTTTTAATTTGTTTTTTCACTTGTTCCATCACTTTGACAGATAAGACCCCTAAATCCCATATTAGTGAATTCGTCTTGCAAAGATCTGTCAATATCCGTAAAAATTTACAGGGTGTGTCATTTAAAATAAAAAAGTTTGCATGTTTATTGACTCACCCTGTATTCTTACATAAGCGATTTTACACCGGAGCTATTCGTTACAGAAGCATACCAATTTTAAGTGAAAAATATTCAGCCGTTTTCAAGATATTAGCCATATTCCAGACTTTTTTTACACCCTGTATAATCCGACTTATGTATTGAAATGTAAATATATTCCTACATATCAATAACATTTTGCAATACAAAACTACTATAAAAATGAGATTTTATGTCGTTCTATTTACAATAAAATATGTCCATATTTAGTCCTACAGAGTTTGTCGCTACAAGCGTGGTGTAAAACGGAGAGTTAACCACAGTGACTGTTCGAGAGGCGTTTATGGAAAGCAAGTCTAAATCTCTGGAATCATCTCTTGGATCTCTTATGTTAATTTGACTGAGTAGGTACCTATATCTGGACAATCAATTAAATTATTCAAAATTTTGAGAGTTAGAATGACATAAAAGATCAAAAGTTGGTATTCCTATAGGTGGGTAAGTTCCATCAAGGTTGAAGATTTAATAACTTCAGAAATAGTCTCTGCACAGCTTCAATACTGTCAACATGTCACTGATGATAAGGAGACCAGACTACAAAAGCATATTGCAGTTTGGATCGCACAAAGGCAATCTATTTATAGTAGACACATTCTCAAATTCTATCTACATCGAACTATGAATCCATATGTCTTGTAAGCCGAATTAATAACTCAATCAAGGTGGTAGCTAATCGTCAGTTTCTTATCAAATGTCAGCCCGAGGTCTGCAAAAGTTTCTGGTCGATTTAGGGTGTTGCCACCAAGAAAATTGAATATTAATGGGTGTTTGTTTTAAGCCAAAGGTCATAACATTGCATTTAATGAGGTTTAAGGGTAATTTATTCCTTCGACACCATTCTTCAATATTGTACAGATTATTTTAGAGAAAACTCACATTAATGACATTTGATATGTCATTTATGGAAACATTTTACAACAAAGGTCCCAAGTTGGAGCCTCGTGGGACACCAGATGTTACAACAAACTCTGCAGACTTGAATCCATTGACCTCGACATACTGAGTTCAACCCTCCAAATAGGACTTAAAAAGGCTAATGAGGCTTCTAGATAAAGCAAAGGTACCGTAAGGTGGGGTTAGTTGCAACATTTTCAAAATTCTTTTGCCGATACCTTCTTTATTTTTTTGTCGAATTTGACATAATTGGTGCCAAAATTTTAGTCTTGTATCCGATTCTAACAAAAAACTTTGAAAAACATTATTATTTAATATATATTTAAAAAAAAAAACTGGGTGTTGCAAGTTGAACACCTGCAAGGGGATACTTGCAACAAGTGGCTTTTTTTCAGTAGTAATTGTATTTAGAAACGCGTGTTAACTTACTTGCAACACAAAATATTAAAAAAAAAAAAAAATGGCTAA